CAACAAAAAGTCACTAAATCGCGGTTTCCTGTCAAATAGTGGAAAATCGACGTATCACATGAAAATTCAATACGTCGGTTTCCTGTCCAAAACTGTTTTGCGACGATTTTAGTTTACGTTACGTCGATTTCACAACGCACCAGTCGTAATCGGTTTCCTGTCAAATCGCATTTTCTTACGATAAAACGACGTAATCGTAAGTAAATCTGCCTTCTTACGTCGACAGGAAACCAGGCTTTACACTCAATGCTTAAGCACGTCCCCGACGACCGACGCGATTCTATAGACAAATACAACGCCACGACGCACCGTTTTTAATCCATTTAGGCTGCCACCGACGGCGTCGTTCGTCTAGAGCTCACAGGAGCAGAGTTGGATTCATCTGCCGGCGGTCGTACGTCGACCGTCGTATGGCTCGCAGCGAGTGCCCGCTTTTAAACATGTGTTTTACGCCATCTGATTGGTTTTGATTTTTTTATCTACCATTTGAAATTTATTTGCAGATGACTGTCCTTTTCCAATCGGACTTGAGACTGGTAAGATTGGTGATCACCAAATATCAGCATCCTCTTTTATTGATGGCGCCCATTCACCCAACAGTGGACGCTTGAACCATTATCATGGGTGGCAAGCAGGGATCACTAACCGTGAGCAATGGTTTCAAATTGATTTTGATCAACGAATGATTATTACGGGTTTGATAATACAAGGAAGTGACAGATGTAATGTGGAAAAATTTATATTGAAATATGGTTATCCTCCTGAGGAAAATGAGAGCATAACTTTTTACGATTATGTAGACCAATCAAATAATGTTGAGGTATGTTCAATTTATATATTGTTATATAATTCATTTATATATTATTTGCTATAATGTTTTTGTGAGCCTGTTTAATAATAGACGATTCCACGTGTAGGCCTATATGCACAGGCCTACCTGCATTATATACATAGTATGTGTAACAAATCAAATAAGAATGAGCAATGTGATATAATTGACGTTTAACTAATGTGATTCATGTTCCAATTCTGATATTCCATATCTCTATATTTCACCTAAATATGTAACATGAGAATGAAAACGTCGAAGCCATTATTAGATAACTATATTTAATTTCAATTCATTGTATAAATATATAAAAAATATTAGGCCTATATGTACTTTTTACATATTATTAGATTCCAAAGTCGATTAAGTAAGCCTTTAAAACTCCAAACGAAGAACCACTTCTTAGAGATTTTTAGCAAAGCCCGACCACACCCTTGTATCATTTATTACCTTTCTAGTAGGCATACAGTGGCATACTTTGGACAAAATCTAATGGTGTATCTAAAATATGCAACTCCACCACTTTTTAAAAAAACGGAAATGAAGACCCGTTTTATGGTCGACTGTAACGTTTATTTAAACCAGTATTTTCTCTCTATACACATCGAGTTATATCTAATAAAATGCAATATTGCCACCAATTAAACTTGGTTAGTTCGCATGACGACATTCTGAAGCAATTGTCAACGTCACACGAGTTGAATTATTATTGTAAATTTATAATTAGACTGTAAACCAATATGGTTTCTCTATAAAAATCGAATTATATCTAATAAAATTATTGTAAAAATGCAGTTTGTTGTGATAAGTTGAAGCTACGGTTCCTACAAACAATACTAATGCAATATTACCAACTATACTTGAATAGTGCTCGCATATCGACTTTTTGAAGTAATTGTCAACGTCACACAAGTTGAATTATTATTAAATTCAACCAACGTATAATACTTTACTATTTAACTACAGTAGTTCATTAACTGGTTGTTTTTCATATATTTTTATTTTAGGAGTTTATGCTTTCTGATGGCGCAAATTGCACTAAAATATTTCGTTTAAATCCATACATTCATGCCAATTCAATACAAATAAATCCTATAGAGTGGTTTAATTGCATTGGACTAAGAATTGAAGCTCTTGGTTGCAAAGACAAAGGTTCGTATATATTGAACATTAATTTTTAGCACTAATTCATGTTTGTAAGTTTACCAAAAATGTAAATATATATAGGCCTATAATAAATGAATAAAGAAATTGTGTAATAAAATGCCTCTGGCGGGACTCGAACATGCAACCTCTCGTTGTCAAGGCGAGCGTCATAACCATTAGACCACGGAGGCTTCAGGGTTGAACAGATTCAAATACCACCAGATACACTCCATTACACAATAGGTACGGCTAGAAACAAGACTACATTCGTTGAGATTTATGCTACACGATGTATTATTATGTCCTTTATTCGAACACTGTATTTACCTTTCTTTGATGATTTATATATAATTTAACAGTGTTAACGGCTATCTTGATTTATATTGTATGCAGCTATTTGTTTAATTATAATATTGAATATGCGTAGAAAACATTTATGACATTTTTATCAATAGAGTCTGGCAAATGTATCCATTGTTCCCGAGTTTATACTGTGTCAACTAGATTAGAATATACAATACAAATATAAATCATAAAAATCATAATGTTTGGGAGTGGTTTTTTTTTTTATTGAACATAGTTCTTTTGATTTGGTGAAACATTTTTCTTCCGTTTTAGACGGATGTCCATCCACAGCTGGTTTATCATCTGGAGATATCCCTGATACGTCATTGACAGCATCGTCTACAGCGGATGTCGAACATGTTCCATCAGCTGTACGTTTGAGTAGTCTATCATATTCGGTAACTTGTTGGAGCCCGTTACGAACTGACAACCAGGCATGGTTTACTGTTAAAATCCCTCCGTCTAGTGTTTATGGCATTGTGATGCGTGGATGTGAAAGCAACCTATGGGTGGAGAGGTTTACTTTGAGCTATGTTGCTTATGAAAGTGATGAAACTGATGTACTGGACACACGTGGATTTATCAAAGTATGTGTTTTTTTTTTTCTTAAAAATACACTCATTATTCGTTAATGTATTATTATGTTTACTTGCAATGCTGTGGAAACTTTCATAATTGTTTTTATTGTCATTGTGTGCATTGTATTATTAAGAAACATTTTCGTTAAATGGAATATGGTTTTCGTTAAACTGCAATATTGTTTTATAATTTTATATAACGTTTATTCAGAATTTTGAGCCGATTATATTATATTGTTGATATGTTTTAATCTTGTAATGGGGTGTTCCATTTACAAGCATTATGTTTCTGGAATTTCCCCTTTTCTTTGACTGCTTAAGTTTTGTAACATTTTCTCAGATTATTGTATGATTTATTATCTATTGATGCTCAAAGGAAATTGTCATTGTCATTGTCATATTCAGCATTATCAATGTATTCCCAATTGTAATTTAACCCTATAGGCTTTTCTCAATATACTATATCGTGTTGCTGATGTTTATCTCTGTAACGTAGGCCTATGTATTATTGATTTTGTGAAAATCAATATTAATATTATTATAATCATTTTTATTAGTAGTAATATTGAAATACACACTATGTTATTGATGTTTCCAAGTTACGATGATGATTTTTTTTTCAATAATACTTCGAATTTGAATAGAGTAAATCTTAATAATTATGTCTGTCGTTTATAGCGCACAAATATAATATACTTAAAGTATATTATTTGATTTTGATTTGTTTTTTTGGTTTTTTTTGTTTAAGTTTTGTGTGTAATTATTAATATTTTTTTTTTTTGCTTTTAGGAATTTTCTGCAAATATAAATTCTTATGATTTAGCCTATATTGAGTTGGAAACACCTCTAATTAACATTGAAGCTCTCACTATTCATCCAATACAATGGTCTGACGGTATTGGGATGACCTTTGAACTAATTGCTTGTCAGTATGAGCGTAAGTAGTTTTCATTCCCATCATTCCATTCAGTGACCCCCGCTCCGCACCAATCAGACACCCATAATACTCTAGATGTCACCCAATAACGCTAACAGTGATTGGTCACGTTTGGCCACATGTTACATAGTGAGACAGGTGGAATGGTCAATACATGGGGTCCACTGATATAATATCTTACTTGTGTCTATTTGTCCGAATTGAGAGTGACTTCATGCTAGACGTGAGTCAACACAGGCACTCCAACTGCAAAAAAAACCATACAAACCCAGACACTGTAGCCGTAAGCCTTTTTCTTATTCAGGTCACAATTATTGTTTACTACTGTACGCATGATACATCCTCCATGGTTTACCAAACACAAACAGGATTACAAAAAACAACATAACAAACACACGAATATTATTTTGAAAATTACACAAGACTAAAACTTTTCAATGCTACGTTGTAAGTCTTTCTAAACCACAAACATTCAGGCATTCATCGTATTTCACAAACGTACATAAAGAATATGAAGTGGAGTTGTGTCTCAGTTATTCAGTGACAGCCCCACCCCCAGTCGCCCTTCAAAATCACGCTCAAATAGTTAAAAATCACCATAATTTGCGAGCTAGCGCCCACTCACCTTAATCATCGATCCCCCACTTCACCCTCTCCTCCCCACCCACCCATTTCAAGCCTCCCAGATACAACACTACAGTTATAGTAGATAGATACGCCGCTGTTTAATATTATTCGTAACGCAATTATGTTTGATGATTGTTTTGCATTACTGTATAATGTACAGTGATATGTTGTATGTTGTACTTGTATTCTATAATTTGTTATTTAGATCAGTCTGACAAATTTTCCTATCTTAACTTTCTATAGTAGGGTTTATTAAATTTTTATATTTTTTCTTTTGTCGATGACAGCTTGTGCAGAGAGATTAGGTCTTGAATCTGGTGCAATTACAGATGAACAAATTGAAATAGGGTGGTCAGGTACTACGTATGCGGGATCTCTCAGATTATACGGTGACGTATCTGATTTAAAAGGTATGAAATCGTCTCTAGTATATGGCTACTATAAAATCTCTTTACTGGACCTGTATTCAATACGTGGTACTATCACCCGAACAGTTGTTTCAGTATTGTCAGAACCAGTGATGTTCTGGATTGCATACAGATATACAAACGAAACCTTGACCTACCAAACAATAGATGGCAAAACAGAGGTATGTATTTGTCTATTTACATCCTTCTATTCATTGTTTGAATTCATTCCTTTCTTTCTATAACATACAGTACAAGTCCTTGATCATGGGCCTATATATAATCCAGTCATCATTTACAGAATTTTATCTGTTAAATATAAATTCAATATCACAGAAAAAAAAATCAGAACAATAAAATAAAACGAATGACGGAAGCAAGCCAACACCCGACAGTACTAGGCCTACTGAAAAAAAAAACTAGCATTTCTAGCTTGCTTTACTTGTTTCTTTCCTTCTTACTACTTCTTTACGTGGACGCGTCCGAGAAAGAGTGCATCGTCATGGGTCTTTTCACTCCTTTGATTCGGCAAGTCTGTTGTTCAGTGTTTTTTGCCACACAGCGGGCTGCACAGTCACCGTAGTTGAGTGATCTTCTCAGCTCTGGAAGTACGGGGACGTATCACACAAGGTAAATTAGAGATTACCTGATATTTGGCACGATGACAGTGACCAATCTGGATCGACATTGAGTGAGGATGGTTAAGGAATGCCATCGTAAATACCTGCTTTGGTTCTATGTTCGTGCCACAATATATTTTGAATCCTCACAAGTAAGCGGCATCAAGTCTACACAAGCTCTTCCTTTCAAAGAAAGCAAGATTTGTTAATGTTACTACCACGTGGTTATAACTTATTGCAGGCCTTCCAAGCTAGACAACTTCGAGACTGGAAGTCTGTTTTACTGTCAGGCTGCAAGACACGACCCAAGATAATGCTTTCTTCCTTGTGTATACTGCTTTGACATATCTAAGATTATAATAGAATGCTTTGACTTAACGCCAAGCTCCGGAAAATCGGGAATGGGTAATGAGATGCAGATTTTTGAATTGGCCTATTTAAAAACGGATAAGGTGGAAAAGAGGTTTTTTTTTGTCAAATATGCTTTAATTATGTCTTAGAAAAATCAGTTGTACAACATATCAAAACATGTTTTTCCTCCGGAGCCTGCCTTTAAGCCAGGGACTTGATGTGCCCGATGATGGTCCGTCGGTCGACGAGATTATATGGAAGAACACAACGGATCGTTTTTAATGGCGATCCGTTCAGAATGGTTGTACGCATGGTCGATACGACAAGTGAGTACCCGGGTTTTTACCTAGCTAGTATAAGACATCTTATTGATATTCATGCATTTGGTTTCCCAGATGTTTGTTGGAGGTGAACTTCAGTTCGTAGAAGTAACCAACTTGCTTGACCGGCCAATCATTACCAGTGAAATAACGTTCTACACATATGATGGAGAAGGCTTGTCTTCGTTACAATTTGAAGTCCTCGGTTGCTCACTCAGTGGTAAGTGTCATACCTTAGGTTATGATATGGAAGTTACAACCTCGACATTTATAGGCCTATCAGAAGAAAAAAAAAGTAACCAAAAAGAATACCAAAAGTACGTCGTCAAAATAAGGAATGTATGTATGTTTGGTGGGTGATCAGGGAAGGGGTTTGACGGCTACGCCTGTATCCCAGTGTGGTGCATGTAGAGCGGTGACATTCAGTCAGCATGGGGAAGGGCACTGTTGACGTAATGTAATTGCACCATAATGGATGATATCATACTTTTGATATTGTAATATAATTATAATTATATTACTATAATTGACATTAGGCATAAAAATAATTCCGGTACATAAAATGTTTTGTTGTAACAACAATCATCATGAAACATTAATTATATGTATCATATGCGACAAGATGCTAATTTTGAAATCAGTCAATCAATCAATCAATCGTTCAGTCAGTCAGTTGGAGTTACTTAAAGGTAGCATGTATTACTGGATTAAAGTTATCCTCGGTGCATTTAACACCGAAACAAAATCGATGCAAGCCCATACAGAATGAAAAAATGAAAGTACTGGGAATGGTTGATATAGGTCTAATAAATTACTTATTTAAATTATTGTTAGCCACAAGATATATGTATGTTTGAATGAGAAAAGGAAGCTTAAAGTGAACTTCTTAATTTCCGAGTTAATTATAATAATTATTGTGGAAACTCCATATAATACTTAGATAAACGCTAACAATGTAAATGGTACGTACTGGGAAATCCAGATAATGCCACAGGGGAATCACACGGAAGCCGTATTTTGTAGTGCACAATGATTGGAATACCTAACCTAATAACCCAAGCCCGTAGCCGGGGGGGGGGGGTTCGTTGGTTCGAACGAACCCCCCTTTTCATGAAGTGCGCTTTCAACAAAGGCTGGCTAACCTACACCTTGGGCCTAGCCTAGAGCCTCATCATAAAAAAAGAAAAATTTTGATTCCTAGATGGCCGGAAATGAGCTTTTCCGACTTCTGAGGAGTCTTTTAATGACCCGGTAAGTTCTTTAAAATTCAAGGTTTTCCCCCCTTGGGAAAAGGTCAGGTAATTTTATCTCATTCTTTAGGCCTATCATAGAGGGAAAAAAAATCAAAGACAGGCAATATATTATTATATTCCAACAACATTGAGTAGTTGGATATGTAGTCTTTCTTCCATGGATCGATGAACCGATAGGCCTGAAGAACGCACTTTCGTACATAAATTATTACGATGGAGAACCAAGAACAGTGTGTATAATTTATTTAGGCCTAATTGAAATCTAGATGGGCTAATCCTAGTAATTGTCTGATCTTCCAACCTATGCCTAGGTAGGTTAGCATGCCTTTTGTAAGCCAGGACCCAGTTGTATTTTGTACGTTTCTTCACAGAGGGGGGTTCGTCCGAACCCCTTGAACCCCCGCCCCCCGGATCCGCCACTATGGCAGGGCAACAGCAGCAGAGCGTATCGCCGATCGTCCCGATACGATCGTCGGCCACCAGCAAGCCTTCAAAATACTGTAATGTAAACAGAATTCCCTGGATTTCACTCAAACGATTCCCGTCCACCCGACCCCTTGCGATGTGCTTCTGCTTTGCCAACGTTGCGCACATACTCTGTGAACGCGTCCTACAGTATGATACAACTGAAAAGTGCTATAAGCCACAGTACTTCTTATTTCATAAAAAGAATAAAAAAGACAGAATAAACCATACTGGTTTCTTTGGAGTTTGTATCATGCTACTGTAGGCTCTTATTAAATTACCAGTACTGTAGTAAATTAGTAATTTTTTTTTCCTTTTTATCTTTGCCTAACTCAAAAAATTACCTCTTTAATATATACATTTTGTTGCCTCTCAAATTAATTAAATAACAACGGTAAATATCTAGAATGCTGGAGCTACCAGGGGTCGCCCACTGGACCCCAATGGGGGCCCTTGGCGGCCCCGGGCCCCCAGCCAATTATGGTGCTCTCTTCGTTCGCAAGTGCCCTTTCAGATTCAAAAAGAACCCCCCCCCCTCCATCAAAGTCCTGGCTACGGGCTTGTAACGGCCGCTCTAACTTGCCTCTGTAAAGACATAGAAACCTACATAGGCCTATATAACTGGCATGTTCAATATATTTAATTTTAATTAGGAAATCATAGTATACAAGTTCAGGGTCTATACTGTTGTGGACATCATATTTCTTCATCCTTACAGATGCTGGTCCTATGTGTACTGGCAATGACAGAGTAACAAACGATGGTTTCTGCTTTGGTACTGTTGAAAGTAGTGCTGCTACTGCATGCCATGAAATATTCTACCCTGAAGCCGAACCAGCTATTATTCGCTCGGAAGCTGAAACAGATTTTATTCGGAGATATACGGATCGTTTCCAACGGGCAGCATACAGCCTGTTTATTATCGGAGCGAATGGCAATATGGATGGTGATTTAGTATGGAGAGACTCTACACCAGTGCTGTACAACAATTTCATGGAGCAACCAGATCACATTGGTGAAAATGAGTGTGTTGCTGTTGATGGGCTTGATCGACAGGATTGGACTCTCTTTGACTGTGAAGATAATCTGTCGACAACTAGAGCAACGCTTTGCCAAGCAGGTACTTCATGTCTAGTAAATGTTAACAAAATAACATGGACTAATATTGATAACTTTGATAATAATCTGCTGATGATGATGGTAATGATAATGATGACAAAATGACCATGACGTCAATGAAAACGACAATGATAATGATAATGTTAATAATATAGTAATAATAATAATAATATATGTCATCACATTACTTTTTTTTCAATCATTCCAGATCTTGATGAATGTATACAAAGAGACATCTGTTCCTTTGACTGTGTGAATACACCGGGAAGTTACTACTGTATCTGTCAACCGGGCTATTACATTGGAAATGATGGAAGTACATGTGATGGTAAACAGTGTTCATTTTTCATTTAATTTATTCTCTCTGAACAGTAAAATAACAGTAAAACTCTGTCCAGACTATCAAATTTTCTTTGACAAAAAAAAACTCTTGTATGCCCATATATAGTGATGATGTGCCTACATATGGTCATGATGTGATGCCATCATGACCATATTTAGGTATGTCACATGTTATTGTCAAATAAAATTTTATAGTCTGGCCAGAGAAACGTTAACGATCAGAGAGAAAAAAGAATGTGTCAACAGCAATTATATGATTATTTGATGAAGTAATAGTCTAAACACATTAGTGTCGAATTGCGTGATTTGGTTTATAAATAATCTAACATTATCAGTGTCGAATGGTGTGATTGGCTTAATAATGATCTAACCACACACTATCAGTGTCGGACGGTGTGATTGAATAATGATCTGACCACACCAATGTTTTCGTGAAAAATATAGCCATTTTTTAGATAGATACTGTATAAAGAAAGTATGAAATTAAACATATATTTAAAAAAACTGTTCGATTTTAAGATGGTTGCAGGATTCTTAACGATGGTGCGGAAGTTGAATGGAGTCCGGTGACTGGCCCACTTGACCTTGGGGGCAGCATGTGCTATACTATTGTTAATGTAACAAATGAAGTGGATGCCTCAAGAATGTGTTCTCAACTTGATGCAGAATTGGCAGATAGTTCAGTTGCTGAACTTGTAAGTAAACTTAGAATATAATTATATAGGCCTACTGATAGAGTTATTAACATTAACGGCCTTAGACATAGTCTCTTATACACATCT